AATTTGAATATGTGAAAAGAGTCTCCTGCCTCTGCGCCTGGCTGTCCTCACTGGGGCCTCTTGGAGGAGGGTGGCTTGAGTTTCCCTCCCCACCCCGAGCAGAGCCCCGACAGCTGAAGACCTCCGGTTCCAGCCACAGCCATTCTTAAGACCACTCTCTACACGTTCGGATGAGCCTCACGCATGAAGGAACCGGCAGAGGAACCCGGGTATGCGAGACCTGGGGCATAGATCTCCAAGCCTCTCAGACCGGGACTGGGGCCTCCTCCACCCAGATCCCCCATCTTCCAGTATGTAGGTGTTACACCCAACAACTGCCCCCTGTGCCATGTAATCCCATCAACGGCCAAGACCCAGAAACTATAAAATCCTGCTCCCGGACATCTTATTATCTAGTTCTTACTCTGGAGAACCTGGCAGGCTACCAAAAGTATCCTGCCCACACGGCAGAGTCTGGCAAACTCCCCGTGGCATATTCAATATGCCAAAAACCAGTAACGATGATGGGTCTCATTCTCCTGACCCTGAAAGAGCCTAGAATGTGGCACTTTTTAAAATCACAGGGCTAGAATGAAAGAGACGTCTGGGGCCTGCTTGAGGCAATCGATGAACAACAGGATGACAGTGATACAGTGATATAGTGAAAAAATGTGGTCTGTTTCTGCTGTGTTCCCTTCTCAGCTAGCTCATTTTGTCTAACATCTTAGCATGTTTGGTTGCTTCTTCAGTATGTATTATTCCTGTTCTAGCAAAATGTGTTGGTTATTTTCTTTAAGGCCTAATAAAGTATCATCCTATGGGCGGGGGGGGGAGGGGTATACAAGGGGAGCTGTGGTAAGAATGAGGGTCAGTGAAAAAATAAGTCTTGCATGCATGAGACCTTGGTTTGATCCCAGAACCATTGGGGAGAAAAAGAGGAGTTAAGGTGAATACCTTCAAAATTTGTTTTCCCTTTAAAGAGACATCTTTGGATAAAAACAGCCTGACACTACTTTAAAAGTTTTTCCTCTCAACAAAAGGGAATGCCCTGCCACTGAGGCAGGGTGGGAGGGGGTTGGGGGGTGGGAGAGATACTGGGATTAGTGGTGATGGAGAATGGGCACTGGTGGAGGGATGGGTACTCGATCATTGTATAACTGAAACCCAAGCACAAAAATGTGTAAGTCTACCACTGTACCTAATGGTGTTTCACTAATAAAATTTTCAAAATAAAAAAAAACGTTTTTCCTCTCAAGAGGCACCACATCATTCAGAAAATTAAGAAAATGTCATGTAGAACCCCAAATCCCTGTGATGTCAAGCTTATATTTAGGAATAAATAACTTCTCAGGAATAAAGTTTCAGTTTGTATTTAGGCAGTAGTTTTCCTTCCTTTTATTTTTTTCCTTCTTGCTTTGGTGGCCATACCTGGTAGTGTTCAGAGCATTCTCCGGGTTCTTAGCTCAGGGATCGGTACTGGCAGGGATTGGGGGTCCATATGTGGTGCCAGGGATGAAACCTAAATTGGCAGTGTACAAGGCCTTACCCGCTTTACTCTTTCTCCAACCCATTTTTTTTTCCTGAAGTGCTTTGTAGTATGCTTAGGCCTCCCATGTGGAATTATAAGGGGATGGGGTTTTTATCTGGTTTAAATTTTTAATAAACATGGAGGTTTTCATTAAATGATCAACCTTGAGCAACGTAATTTTTTTTCACTTTTGTCTGTTTTGAGCTTTCAAATCACTAATATTCCACTCTTATCCATAATATACACTCAATAAGCAGATCACATAAGGAAAAAAAGATCAAATAAGATTAGATAGTAACAGACCTTAAAAGTAAGAGTATTCACTGACCCACATAGTAAGAAATCCAGGGACTCAAGAGACAGTACAGCAGACATGTGGTTTCATCGTGTACAACTGACTTGGGTTTGATCCCTAGCACCACATTTGGTCCCCTGAGCGCTCTAAGAGTGCCCCCTAAGCTCAGAACCAAGAATAAGCCCTGAGCACCCTGGTGTGTCCCCCAAACAAAACAGAACAAAAGACTAAAAAACCCAAAGTAAGGTGGAAGCATTACCAAAATATTTTGTTAGCAAATCATAACTTCAATCTAATTCTATAATTCCTGACATGCAGATGCAGTACATTCCCTTATTGTTAAAGATATTATCTAAGTTTCTAAGACTTTTAGTTGAAAACATCTTAATGTATGCATAAGGGTTCTTTTTAAAAACTTTTATTCATCTAATGTATTAAAAATTGCATTTTGTTCAACTGCAACTTCCCAGGTATTAATGATGTGAGTGTCTTTTTAATACATAACCACTTTGACTCTTTTTTTTCCTATAAAATTTCTTTTTGTGGATTGTTTTTTTCAAGTCCATGTTCAGGCTATGTATTATCACTCCCACTCTATGGTTTGTTTAACTCTAGAGAAATCTGTTTTTCCTGAACACAAGTTCCTCTCTTTCTTTCCCCTCACATCTTTCTAAGTAAATTTCTTTCAGTAAAAATGTTTTTGCTTCACTTAAAATAATAGTGTTTTGTCCATTTTATTAGTTGAAAGATTCTTTTTCTTTTCTTTCTTTCTCCACATGTTCTTTTGCCATGTACACACAGACACATACAAATATGTGCACAAGCTCTTTACCTTTTAAGTAGCTGCTTCCCACTTGTGTCTGCTACACACAATACTCATCCAAATATAATTTATCGTTTGGTTTTATTTATGTTATGCTTTATTATTCATTTTTATTTTTGCTTGTATGTAGTTAATTATATCTGCCTTTCCCTTTTATGTTAGTTGGATTCCCTCTCTTATTTAAGAACAGATTCCATACTACAGATTCATAAATTTTTTTCTAAGTTTTTGCTCTGACATTTAAATTGTTTTATATTTCACAATTAGATATTTAATCAAGCTGTAATTTATTTTTGTATATGGTATGACACTGTGGTACACCCGTTGTTTGCTTCCAGATGGATAGATAATTATGCCAACATAATTTTAAAAATAAACTATTCTGGAATTTCTATTTCTGCCAAATTATACTTTAGATGTCCACAGAAGTCCATCTTGGGATAGCACACACACATAAAAATTCTGAATAAAATACAAATAAAAATTCTATTATATAATTAAGCTTGTGGAGAAATAAATGAATTTGACCAGCAGCCAAAATTAAAGTGCAAAACCAGAGAGATGTGTGAGAATTGGAGCTTCCATTTACTCTGGAAATATCTGCCAGTTCTTGATGGTGATTAAGGGTCTAGTTGACAAATTGTATCATGAGATCAAGAGACAAAATAGTTCCTGAAATAGTGAAAGGTCAGAGCATAGATCTTTATACAATCCAAGCAATTATACTTGGCATGATGTTTCTTGTTTTGAGCATAAACAAAACAGTATTCTATAGCATGAGGTTTATGTATACTTGTCTATTTGTCTCATTCTTGACTTTTGGGAAAACAGGAATAAAAAAGATATACTTCTCCTGAAGTTCCCCCATCACAGTGAATTCATTCACATAAGCAACACTGAATCAGAATTGCTATACTCTGGCTCAAACAAAATCCAAATACAGATGTGTGGTACAGAAGCCAATATAAGCTTTAAACAAAGCTTCTGCTCACAAACCCAAAGAAATATATTGATGGAAACACAGTAGTGAGAAGCCTAACATTCCACTTTCACCAATAGGACTTCAAGACCTTCTAAGCACCGTTTGAAAAAAACCCAAAAAGCAAATAAACTAAAAATGTTTAAAAGTAAGATAGTGGACTAATAATAAGACCACATAGAGACATCTGAGATTAACAGTGTCTTAAAATGTTAATTTTGAAAGCATATATATATGCAAAGGTCTGGAGCGATAGCACAGCGGTAGGGCATTTGCCTTACAAGCAGCCAACATGGGCGACCCGAGTTCGATTCCTCCGCCCCTCACGAAAAGCCCAGCAAGCTACCGAGTGTATCTCACCCACACGGCAGAGCCTGGCAAGCTACCCATGACGTATTCGATATGCCAAACACAGTAACAACAAGTCTCACGATGGAGACGTACAGGGCCTGCTCGAGCAAATCGAACAATGGGAGGATCATGACCATGATATATATGCAAAAATATTCACCTACTAATTGTTAAGCACCAATTTATTGCTAAATTTACAAATATTGATTAAAGCATACCCACGAGACATTCTTTTCAAAAATTCTTTAATTTTACTACTTGTCCCTTAATATCCCCAAAGTTTCAGATTTCTGAATACTAATAAAAGATGATTAATATTTTTAGTTATACGTAAATTAAGACAAAACATACTGAAATGGGGGAAAGGCAGGAATAGAGCTGAAAAGTAATTGTCAGATCCTATTTCATCTCTTTTTCTGTTACTAAGTCCTGTGAATCTAAAGTGGATTGATGAAGTAGACATATAAGAGGTACGCATGAAAAAAAAAGATTATCTCCCTAAATGTTGACAAGCTACTGTATTTTTTAGTCCTCCTTCTCCTCCTCCTCCTCCTCCTCCTCCTCCTCCATCTTCGTCACACTTGGAAATGCTCAGGAGTTAGTCCTGGCTCTGCAGGAAATGCTTGTGGCTATGCTCAGGGGACCATATGGGATGCCAGGGATAGAACCCAGGTTGGTCATGTGCAAGACAAACACCCTATCAGCTGTACTATTGCTCCAGCCCTTGGTCTTTTTTTCTTCTTTTCTCTTGGTTTACATTTAAATCTGTTTCTTTAAAATCATTCGTAAAAACTATTTTAAATTCATTATTTACTTCAAATATATTATTAATTTATCAAACTTTTTAAAAACTGCTATGCTGTTATCTGAGTTTGAAAGTCTTGAGCAATTAAAAAAATCAACTTCAGGTAGGCTCTAGATCCATTTTTTAGTCAAAAAACAGACTCTTCTATTTAAAATAAACCTAAGATGGACTTATTTGTACCATATTTTGAATTCTCCAAGAGTGAAAATAAATCTGAAATGACAAAAGGTAAGCCCTTACCTGTTGGAAGATGCAGTGTTATGTTGTTGCAAAAATCTGTGAAGCAGCATTCTGTTTTGGTAACGTTGTTGGAACTGTGGCAGAAGACTTGAGCATTTAACTCTGGGAGAGAGACACAGGACTTTATCACCTGTTCTTTCCCATTGGTGAGCATGACTGAGGCCCAACATGCTCCTTCTGTTTGGCAGGTAAAGTTTGAAGAATCACACAGAAGACAAACACACTTCAGTCCTGTAAAGTATGAAGAGGGGAAAAAAAAGGTAAAGATATAAAAGAAATCATGCAAATTTATTTCGCAATACACAAGCATATCAAATCAACCTGAATAAAAACTGATGTAGTGTTTAAATACATAGCAATGAATACTGCCTACATAAATGTTACTCCATATCAGTCACATTCAAGTAGGCAGGTTGCAGAGTTGTCATTTACTATGTTGCTTCTAGTTTTGTGAATTTATGCAATTACTTTAAACTCTTTTTTTTTCCATCCATGATCTAAACGAGTCCCTTTTTTTAAAAAATTTTTATTAGTGAAACACCGTGAGGTACAGTTGTAGACTTACAAATTTTTGTGCTTGGGTTTCAATTATACAATGATCAAACACCCATCCCTCCACCAGTGCCCATTTCTTCCTTAAGCTTTAATATCTCATTCCTAAATCACCAGCTCCTAAGAATGCCTAGATACAGTAACTCAGCAACCAAGGAGCGCTGTCCAGCACTTGTTGAGCACTGAAGTGTCTTTACAGCAGCTGTGCAACAAACACTCCCATCTTCTGTTCATTTTCTTTTTCTTCTCTAACCATTCAGGTGAATTTTGGAATACAAGCCAACCATAGGCACTTAGAGCTCTAAAAATAATTGTATAATTATTTACATTTATGTTCTGTGATAGTTAAACATATAGCACAGCAGTAGGGAATTCGCCTTACAAGCGGCCAACATGGCCGACCCGAGTTCGATTCCTCCGCCCCTCTCGGAGAGCCCGGCAAGCTACGGAGAGTATTCGATATGCCAAACACAGTAACAACAAAGTCTCCAATGGGGATGTTACTGGGCCCGCTCGAGCAAATCGATGATCAACGGGAGGGCCTTTACTTTACTTTTTTACTGTTAGTACCCTAAGGGCATTGGTGGGTCACTCTTTTTCCCACTTTCCACTAGGGAATATCTCTACAAGCATAATATGCAAACAGACCATGGTTTTCAGGTGGTTTTTATTATTGAGCATATTTATTCCATAAATAAAATAATCATGAATAGTATAATTTATCATCAATATCAATACAATTTTCAAAAATTAAACTTTGACAAAATAATCTTTTCACCCCACAACTTTAACATTCCTCACAACACACACACATGCACGCACTTACACACACACAAACACAAACATAGACACACACATACACACATAACCACAAGTTACATCACAGTTCAAAGTAGTGCAGCATTTCTCTGTTTTGATGTAGAATAACTGTCAACCTGGTAAGTCCAGGAATGTGAGCAATTTACTCAATTTTTATTCAATACATTCTTTTTAAAGAGTATAGTACTATTTAGGCCTTTTGACTTGTTATTTTAATGAACTTTTTATTAAGCCATAATTGCTCCTCATAATTATTGCTACCTAAAATTGATTAGATATAATAAAGTTAAAATATTTGATATATAAATGAAACTTTTATAATTACTATGATTATAAAGAGAAGCTTATTAATAATATGGCTATCTAATTTATAAGAAAATTATTACATATCAAAAGCAAATTATTCCTTTCCACTTGATCACTTAACACCCCTTTACTCATCGATTTGCTCGAGCGGCGCCATAACATCTCCATTCGTCCCTGTCGTGTGCTAGTGTAGCCCAATGGCATCTACTCGTTCTTGGAAAATTAAGATCCTCAAACTGATTGTTCAGGGTCTTGACAAAGAAGTCTGACCATCTTGTAGGTGGGTGGCCACGCGATCTTTTGATGTCCCATGAAATCCAGTCAGTAGTGGCTCTCGTCCAGTGGTCTTCTCCAAATCTCATTACGTGTACAGCCCATCTGATTTTCAATGCCTTGGCAAACGAGACAGCATCTCTGGTTCTTGATTGTCAACGGAGGTCAGAACTCTGGATTCTTTCTCTCACTTGAGTGAAGCATGATCTCTAAGCATAGCTCTTTCGATTTCACTTTGGGAGACCCAAACAGCGTTCTCATTCTGTTTTTGTCGGGCCCAGGTCTCTGAGGCGTATGTTAATGCAGGAAGAACAGAGGAATTGAAGAAATGTACCCTGAGTCAGAAGTTATTCCTCCTCTTAGGTACTTCTTTGACGCTTTTGAAGGCGTTACAAGCAGCTTTCTTCCTCCTGCACAACTCAGGTGCCAGGTCATTCATTATGTTGAATTATTAACCTAGGTACACATAACTGTTGCATTCAGAGATGTTTGTTCCATTGAGAGTGAATGGAACATCAGGAATGAGACCATTTCTCATAAACATTGAAAAAAATCTCATAAAAATCTCTCAGCTGTAGTCTGACCTTTCTACACTCATGGTCAAAGTCAGCCAGCATTTGTGCCACTTGGATAATGTTTGGTGTTATTAGAATGATGTCATCAGTGAAGCAGAGGTGGTGCAGTTGCCAACCATCTATCTTCACTCCCATTCCTTCCCATTCTAGTCATTGCATGATGTTCTTGAGGATGGCACTGAAAAGTTTTGGTAAAATGGTATTACCCTGCCGAATCCCTCCCCCCCCCAACAACGATGATCACTTCCTTGTAGAATGGTGAGATCCTTGTAGTGAATCTGCAATACAGCTCAGAGAGGATCCTGATGTATTGAGCTTGAATGCCCTGTTTGGCTAGGGCTTCCATGACTCCTTCAGTCTCAACAGAATCAAAGGCCTTCTTTAAATCAATGAACGTTAGACAGAGCACCATCTTGAACTCCCAAGAAACTTCAATGAGCTTGCTTATCATGTGAATATGGTCAATTGTGTTGAATGATTTTCAGAACCCAGCTTGCTCACACTGTCCTTCATCTAGTGTTCTGCCAATCCTACTCAGGATGACTCGAATGAACAGCTTGTAGATGACAGACAACCGGCAGATCAGGCGATAGTTGCCAATGTTGTGGATGTTTCCCTTCTTGTACAGTAGTACAGTCCTGTTGGTTTTACATCGGGATGTAACCTTGCATTCAGACAGGTAGCGTGTGAAGAGCTGAACTAGTGTATTGATGAGAACTGGTGGCAGGTTCTTCAGGTGTTCGGGTCTGACCTTGTCTGGGCCAGGTGCTGTTCACTTCTTTATCGATGAAATGGTGTGTCAGATTTTGGAAGGGAGAACGTTGGGAATGACATATCCATCCTGAAGAATTTGGTATGTGGGCAGGTGGACATGGCTATTGAAGAGATCCGAGTAGAAGTCATGGATAATCTTCTCTATTACCTTACTAGAAGATGTGATAGATCCATCAGGACATCGGAGGGCAGCATCTTGGTCTTGTAGTTGGCAAAGGACAGACAGGCATTGAGAATGCTTTTCCCAGCTTCTGCTGCATCTGCCAGCACTGCTGTTGTTCTCTCTTTGAGGTCTTACTTGATCATTTCTCTGCACTGCTTTGCAAGCTTGGATGTTCATTTGGAGTTGCCTGAGGCTTAAGGCAAGCCATGTTGGTGAATGAGCTCAAGAATTTTCAAAGACAGGCATCTTTCTGTGGCTATCTCTCTCTCGACATTCCTCACACAATCATGGATGTGCTTAACCATTCTATTGTATTCTTTGTCAATGTTGCCAGCAATGGCCTCTTCCCATGTTGCTGCAATAGTGTCAAAAAGCTCCCAGCTGGTGGTCGTTCTAGGAGTTCTCTTCTTAAACTTTGCAGCCCTTTCTCCCTGCTCCATGAAGTAGAATTTTGCAAGAAGGAGATGGTGGTCCAATCCCATTTGGAATTTTGGGACAACAGCGACATCGGTGGGGCAAAACCGTTGATTGAATATGATGTGGTCAATTTCATTGTGGAACCGTCCACCAGGAGAGTCCCATGTCCAACGTTTAGATTCAACCTTCTGGAACTGTGAGCTACCATGGATGGTCTTAGTCGACATGATGAACTCAGACAGTCTCTCACCCTGTTCATTCCATTCTAGACCACGGGTCCCAATATGGAGTTTTCTGGCTATCTTCTCAGTCCTATCTTGGCATTAAATTCACCGATAATGATCTTGCAGAAGGTGTGGTCTTCTTTATAGAACTTCTCCAGCTCCACTATTCCTTTTATAATTTTCAATATTTTTAAGTAAATATTATTCTTTAAAATATCTTTAAGCATTTTATTACTTTGCACTAAGGGAAATACTATGATTAGATAAAATAGTATTTAGTTGTCATCCCTACACCAAGAATAATAACTCACTACTTATTTTAGTGAATTTGTTAACATTCATATGCTACAGTAGAACTTTTAAGCTTCAATTTATCACTCTTAATTATATCTGAGGTTCTCTAACTAATGTGGCCCTTTACAGAAAGAATTACTCAGTACCCCTCATCCCAAGAACTCTACCTTCTTGAAGTGAACAAACAATTGCACCCAATGCTACAACCATCACCACCTCCCCCCCCGCCCCGCCCCACCAGGATATCTTAGCACCCTAAGATGGTGGTATGGCTCACTTTGGAAAACAGTGATCTAATTGGGATTCAATAAAGTTAGTTATATACAACCTGAGTAACAAAAAAATGTTCGAAGCCACTTTTCTTGAATAAAATAGAGCTCATATAGTGAGGATTCTGACAGTGGAATCTCCATCTCTAGTACTTTTCAATCCCAATAAGGCCAAGTTTAAATCCATGCTATAGTATCCATCTGAAAATGGAGAAATGAACTGGAGAGGGCAGTGTGCCCTGAAATACTGCAAATAATTTAGGACATTATAAATCTTCAACTCATGAAATTTACAACTACAAAATATGAAACTATAGTTGATAACTAAGAAACTTACTTCACTGTAATTATTCTTCACTATCATATTTTCTGAGCCTTCCCAGTCTTGTTGGGAAGATTAATTTTCCTGATACACAATATCAAAATATTTGATACTTGACTCATCAGAGTCTCCTTGTGTTTTCAATTTCCCAGGGAAGGCTAGACAAGAAATCAAGGCAACTAACTAAAGGATATGGAGCTGATGAGAGAAGACAACCATAAAGGAGTCATTACTTAAACATAT